CGTACCTATGTATGTGCACACCAGAGCAACGGCACGTCCCCGCCTTGGCGGTCGAGCATGGGGTCGTGCAGCGTGTTTGGCTGCTCGTGCGTGTGTGGTTCGAGATGACCTATTTCTTTTTTTTCTTGTCCGACAGAAGCAAGAAGCATGATGCCGATGAACTGTTGGTGCGTTGATGCATGGACGGATGTACGAAGACCTTGTTGATGGAGAACGGAAAACTGCTGATGGTGAGCAAACTGGCCACCATCCATGCTGTGGCGCTCAGCACGAGAAGCCATAGCCACGGTGACAGGTCCCAGTACAGCCACAGTGACAGGGATGCTGTCCGTGTGGCTCGCACATTGCCAACCAGAAGAAGGAGCAGCCGTCGAGCGTTCCTGCGCCAAAGTCGTCCATCGTCACAGCCGTCCGTCGTCAACCCAGCCTCGCCCCTCACTGACTGACTGCAGTCTCTGCAAGACCGACATCACCGTCCCTGCAAGACACACATCACCGTATCTGCAGGACACACATCACCAGCCTCGAGCAGCAGCCGAAACACAATGTGCTGCCCAACGGCTCCCAACATGGCCCATGCCACAATACGATGCACAGGCCCGGTGACAGTCTCGCACACAGACAGACACATGCACGGTCCCGCACTGTATCACAGCAACGCGGGTACCCGTGTCTCACGACCTCATTTCCAGCGCCAAAACATACATTGAGGTCAAGCCACCGTACATTTCTGCCTCGACATCCAACCGCCAGACAACGATACGGCCGGTACCATGGCGCCGTCGACGAAGCGCAGCCGACCGGAGATCGTGCCGAATCCCTCCACCGAGCGGGCTCAGCCAGTGACTGCACCTCTGCCGCCGTTGAGCTCCAAAACCGTGCCAAGCTCCAAAGCTGCCCCAGCGCCGCCAGGGGCCCCGAAGCGCCTCATCATCACTTGCGATGGCACATGGATGGACGTGAGTGCCTTTGAACTGGTGTAGCGAAGAACCAAAGAAAATAAAAAATATGTACTGACTCCTCCGCAGTCGCTCGGCGAGAAAGGGTAAGTGAGGCGGCCTCGCAACCTAGACTCTTGACATGTCATAAACTCTAACATCACACCCAGCGGCGACCCCCAGTCAAACGTGACCCGGATCTCACGCGTCCTTCGCCGAACATGCCAGAACGGCATGCACCAGATCATCGCCTACAACCCAGGCGTCGGTAGTGGTAATGCGCTCGACCGTGTCACCGGCGGCATGCTAGGCGTTGGCCTTGAGCAGGCCATTCGCGAGGTCTACAATTTCATCTGCACCAACTACGTGGATGGCGATGAGATCGTCCTCGTCGGTTTCTCGCGCGGCGCTTTCACGGCCCGGTCCGTGGCCGACATGGTCGCCTCGATCGGCCTGTTGACGCCTGCCGGCCTCGACTACTTTTTTGCCATTTTCGACGATTACGAGCACATGGGCAGCTCCAAGCGTGCCCAGGAGGACTTTCTCTGCGACGATCTGCCTCCTTACGCAGGACAGCTGGGCGAGGACAAGTTGCGCTGGGAAGCCCATCGTAAAGACATCTACAGGCGCTGGCTCAAGACGGTGAGTGACGACCCTGTGCCGCGCTTTGGCCGTTCAAAGACTGACCGGCTCCGAGCTTGGCTACACGCGAGACACGCATGCCGATGGCAGAACCCTCATCACGATCAAGGCCCTCGGCGTCTGGGACACTGTTGGCACTCTCGGCGTCCCTCCTGTACCCGTCATTGGTGTGGCCGGATCATCTGACCAATACGTCTCCCCTCGAACGCCCCGCTCTGCCGCGCCGCACCTGCTGACCGACTAGATACGTGGAAGTTTACCAACACGGAGGTTTCAGATCGGGTCGAGAATGCCTTTCAGGCCCTCGCCCTCGACGAGCCGCGGTTTGCCTTTCGACCTGCCCTCTGGGAGCGCGTCCGCGAAAACCGCACCAATCTGAAGCAGGTCTGGTTCCCTGGTAATCACGGCGGTGTTGGTGGTGGCTGGCACGATCAGCAGATCGCCACCATTTCGCTGGCCTGGATGTGTGATCAGCTGTCGACGGTAGGGATTGAGTTCAGCCTTCCTCGCATGACTGAGGTCTTTCTCGAAGGTCTTCGTTACAATGCCGCCCATCCTTTCCCCGTCGTTGGTACGACAAGCCCGCTCCCTGCGTGGGCTTCCTTCTTGTGGCAGCAGCAACCCAAACTTCTGCCCTGGGGCGCCCCGGACATCTGCCGCGCGACACACATCGTCCGTGACGAGACAGAACACGACGACGCCACATGCAGGCACCCCCGTGCCCGCCCTGAGCAGTACTGGCAGACGGCACGGCCGTGGGCGCTGGGCCAGATCCGCGCTCCTACGAGCCGTCTGCAGATGATGGCTGGTGAGACAGTGCGCAATCCCGGGCTCTTCATGCGAGCCGACTGTGACACAAACAAGGACACCGACCAGCCACTTCTCAACACAAACGAGCGCATCCATAGCTCGGTCCGTGTACGGCTCGCGTGCGAAGGTCTCGGCCTCGATGACGGAGAAACCTGGAGGTGCAAGTCACTGAGCGGCGGCTCGCGCAGTGGCCGACAGATCTGGCGGTTGGCGCACGGGTCCGCCTTTCGGCCGGCGGCAGTGGATGCCCTACGCATGTTCCGCCCCAGGGAAGTGGAGCTAGGGTATCCCGCCGAGTACCTCTACCCCGTCGACGAGCGCGATGGCCAGTGGCAATGGGTGTTTGATCAGGAGGGAGACATCACGGGCGCTGGACATGAACGGGTGCCGCAGGCCCTGGTGCTGCCAGAGGAGCCGATGGTCGGTTATTGGGAGAAGTACCTGCTGGCTCTTACCTCGGGCTATCCCGATGTTTGGCGGTATGCTGAGAAGCACCCTCCTTTTGCCTACAACTGAGTGCCGAGGGTCTTGTTTAAGCCGGGGCATGTTTTGATACCACTTGAGCGATGCGCCCTGTTAGAATTGCATGTTGTCTTGCCATTGATTATTCTCGGTATTCTAATCCAGCTGACACTCTGTGCTGCATGTAAACATGGTTCCATTTGCCTGAGCCCCTACCGACAGCCTGAGCCTTCGAACACACAAAGCCTGTTTAAATCCCAGGAAGGCCATATCAGAATAGCTTTTGTAGTACACTTGAGCCTTCTACTTCTTGCCGTCACGTCGCTGCCGTTCATGTGAAGGGCGGCATGATTCTCTTGCAAACCACCCTCCTGAGGTTATATGTGCCAAACACTCGTTACTCGTGATATACGACCCGAACCCGTATACGTATCATAACCCCAGAGTGAATGTTATAGGAATACATCTTCAGCCGGAGCTCCGTCTCCGCTGGTGCTCGAGGCGGAGCTATCTGGAACATCACGGAAAGGCACGGTATTGGCATCGTGGTCATACCATCTTCACCTGTAACGCGGCGCAAGCTAATAGAGTCAGAGAAGAAGCTCGACCATATTCATGGATATAAAGCCTCGAGATGTGACGCCAGGGCAGGCTTGGAGGCCAGGCTTAGCCCCAAAACATGAACCCTTGTCGGAGGCACCAAACGGTGGGCGAGGCGGGGTCGGCATGAAAAGGGGCCACCGATACGCCTCGTCGACAAAAGTTCGCCCGTCTTGTCGACGACTTGCATAGCCTCCGAGGCAGGACGAACCATGAGACTCTTGCATCCTCACGAGCCGGAAAAATAGCATTTGACCGCTTGTACGGACCGGGTGCCTCCGATTCGTACCGGATGTATCTGGTTCTGCTTTTTGCCCGCGATATCGGCTCCTTGGACGGGCCAATCTTACTCCACAGCGAGATCGTCTGTCTCAATCATGGGCATGCAAGGGTGCGCCATCCCGACGCCACGGGCGAGCTAAAGTTTAACCTCACAGTACTCCATCAAGACATGAACGAGCTGGGTGATTTTAAGCGGCAGGACGCGGAAGAGCTCGTCTCGACGGGAACCCTGAATCAAATCTCCGCCGCATCGACAGGCGGTTGTCAGCGTCTATAAGACCTCCTGTCTCGCCACCAGCTAGCACGCCATTGCCCATCGTGAGCCTCATCCCAAATCTCCACCCATCTTGCGACGAAAAACTACGACGACGACGAGGTCGCTTCGAGTCAATCAAGCCCAGCAGCAGCCATGGTCTCGTTCCAAACCCTCCTCCTCCTCGCGGCCACCGCCCTCTCGGCGACCGCCTTGCCCAGCACCAGCGCCAAGCCCCCCGGAAAACCCCCCCACCACGACCCCTGCGCCACGGTCCGCTGCGGCTTCAACACGGTCTGCGAAGCCGTCAAGGGCAAGGCGCGGTGCGTGCCCGGCACCAAGTGCGGGCCGACCATGTGCGGCGCGGGCCAGGTGTGCTGCAACGCGAGCTGCGGCATCTGCACGCCGCCTGACGGTGCTTGCATCCAGATCTTCTGCGAGAGTCCCAGCAAGTTCTGAATGTTGTGATGGACACGGGAGGCTGCGAAACAGAAGAAAACTGACGGGCATGGGATGATGGCGGGGGAGCCGGCTGGTGGGCGGTGCGGCCTCCTGAGAAGCGGGCAGTGAAAGGGGCTGTGGGCAGTATATTAAAGTTGACGGGCGTAATTGGAATAAAACATGGAATCATCTGGCCTTATTGCGTGGCGGCTGTGAGGCGCATGCGTAATAAGTCTCGCGCATGAAGGAGCGTTGGTCGTTTTAGCCTGTTCTGCCTCAGATTGGGCGTCTAGGCGAGGCTGGGAAATGCTGACCGCTGACCATATGCCTAGCAATTGGATAATTGAGAGAGCAAGAACGCGAGAGCCAACGAGTCAGATATCCCGACGTGAAACATTACACTGCACCAAGATGTCGTCGGTCCCCGTGCATGTACGTGGCTCGACACCGATCGAGACTCGGGATATACCGTCTTGTTCATCGTCTTGGCCTGTGTCAGGATCTACTAGGACCAGATGGAAATGGGACTATTAAGGATTCTATAATTTCTATCCTGGTAATGAAGAACAAAGATCTGACATTCTATCCATGACTGAAAATGAAAACTTGAGTAAGCCAGGCACCCAACAAGGAATGGCAAAAAGCCACTATGAAAGAGGGGTTAGAAAGGAAACAAGAAACACATCTCACTTCCGAAGAAACCTCAAGACGAGGAATGCCAGAACCCTGTACACCACGATGATGCTGATCATGATTCCCACACGCTGCCCAGTCTGACCACGAGAGATGTTCAGATTCGACAAGACAGCCCCTCCGTCAATCTTACCCTGAGAGTTCAGTGCACTGGGGAACATGCAGCTGAAGGACCCGTCCGCAGCACGGCCGCAATCGTATGTCGCGCTCTCAAACTCGTTGACCATCATGCCTTGGAAGACGTAGGCCTGGTAGTCGATGTAGTGGAACACGTATTTCCAGAAGACGTTCAGGATGTTCATCGGAACAAGGAAGCCGCCGACGCACATCCACAGGCCGTTCGCAAAGGCGGTGATGGCCAGAGACACGACAAAGATTGGGAAGATGCTCGAGACCAGAACGACGAGAGATTCGGCGGCAAGGAGATCCAGGAAAAGCCACATGACAAAAGTCATGAAAGCCGAGCCGTCGGAGCGCATACCGACGAGCCAATACGCGACAACCGAGAAAAGGATCGTGATGAGGAAGAGAAACGGAACGCCGATGAGGAAGTTGGCCAGAATGAAAGAGGAGGGGCCAACCAAGCCGTTGGCCCTCTCCTTTTGGAATGTCATGAGGTCCTCCAGGAAGGCCGGCACGTATGCAACGGCCATGAACGAGATGAAGGCACCACTAAAGAACATGGCGTTGATGTACGGTTGGATGTACTCCTGAGAGTCTCCGAGTTGCAGCCACACTGTACCCATCATGATTGCCAGGCCGAGATACATGACGATACGTATGCCATAGGCAACAACATCGCGATATGCCTTGATCCAGGCACGTTGCAAAAGGGTCAGCGGGATCATATAGGGTCGGGGCCTCGGCAGCTTGATGGACGAAACGTCGAGTTTGGACATGGTGCTCGACTTGTGAATCTCGTCAGTGAGCGCGCGTCTCTTTTCGCCCTCATGCCAAGTATCGCTGATGTGCTCTGTACGTTTGAGCACCTCTCCATTCTTGTCAAGATCAATGTTGATAAGATCGAGGAAGAATTCGGCTGGGTTCGTCATGGCCGGGATCGGGTACCCAATCTCTTCAAAGTATCTCGGTGCATCTTCTATGGAACCGAAATAGCATGTTCGACCTCGGGAGAGAAGGTTAAGCTTGTCGAACAGCTGGTAAGTTGTCGTTGAAGGTTGGTGGATGGAAGCAATGATGACGAGCTTTGCTCAACGTTAGCACCCGTCAAATTCTCCGCAAACTGGGCTCGTCACCTACATTGTTCCGCTTGCCTATATCCTTGATATGCTTGATGACCTCGTAACTCAGAGCCGAATCGAGACCACTCGTGGGCTCGTCCAAGAACAGCACCTTGGGGTAGGTCACCAGTCTGCTAGCAACACCAAGTCTCTTCTTCTGGCCACCGCTGAGTCCCTTTTTGATGGGAGTGCCCACAATTGTATGTGCTTGGGACTGTAAACCAAAGCTTCCGATGAGCTCATCAACACGACGGAAGGCTTCGGCCTTTGTCACATTTCTGGCCGGGTTAGTCGATAGCCTTCCAATAGGGGTTCATGGTGACGTGGCTTACCTGGGAAGAGCGAGTTGAGCGGCGAAGATCATAGTCTCCCTGACAGTCAAGCTGCCGATGAGCGCGTCTTCTTGTTCGACGTATGCAGAAATGCCTCGAAGGGTGGAAGTGTCAATTCGAATACCATTGACACTTATGTCGCCTGTAGTGGTGGCCCCAGAAGCAGCGACACGATGCGCAAGCGTGTTGAGTAGCGTTGTCTTGCCAGAGCCACTGGGTCCCATGATGGCCAGCATTTCGCCTGCATTGACAATACCCGCAGGCTTGGTCAGGATCGAGAGTGGTTTTTTAGTCACCCTGTCCTTCACCATAACGCTGATTTCTGACCACGAGAGGTTATCGACAACATCGTTAGTAGGCCTGTACGACGATGATTGGCCGAGCTCGATATCTTGTTCTGACTCCATTGAATTGGATCTGGAATACTCGTGGAATGATTTTAGTGATGAAATTTTCTACGAAAGACAGAGTGATACGAAGACGAAGAAGGTGGCGCTCATTCTTATACCCTAGAATATGAAGCCTGCAATGAGCATCGCCGACCTTTACTGAGAACCAAGGAGTCCGGGCACTCGGGCTTTCTGCTGAGTGTGACATTCAGTAATGCCCACAAGGCTGGGAATGTAGGGGCGACCTGGCAGTAGTGGGACCAAATCCCTGATGACAGGCGTCGTAACCCATTTCGGGGAGGCCGTAAACCGATGAAGATGCAGGACGCCGACTCGATGTGGAGACACTCTCAGAGCTGAGTGCCCGTGGCAGGATCAAAGCCGCTTCCGGCCATTGATTACTGGCAGCTCAGTGGATTAAATCTTGCAGCGATCCCACGTCAGCACAGCCTAAAACGAGCTAAATGACGGCGAGACTGATTGCCAAGCTCTGTTCAATCGCGTCTACAGGCTGCAAGTTCGCTACAGAACGGCAGTATTTTACCTCTACGTGTGAACCTTTACTCTCCGATAGACGCAGTTTACGGCCAGATCAGTTGCACCAGAGCCGCACAGGCGGAGTCAGAGGCTGGAATACCAGCTGCAGGGCTGCCGGAATGTAGCTTTGCGCGGCGCCAGGGACTCTTCATGCGCGAGATGAGAATCAACGAAGAGCTGAGACTGGGACGGGGACCTTCGGCGACCAAGTTGTGCTAGTGATTGGACCCCAGTTCCCCGAAACAGTGACAACTTTCTCAGCTTCCATGTTGTGATTTGAGGAACCTAGTTGCCGCTTCCAGAAGCAATCTGGCCACGTCTTCCGGGAAAAGCATAAACTGAATGGCGCATCAATTGGAAATGCCGTTGCCAGGTGAAGACCCCGTCTTGATAATTTTGAGCACCTGTACGGGTCGGACAGTCGGCGTTTGGCACTAGAGCGAATGGAACGGGCTTTGAGCTTGGAACGTTTGTCAGCAGTAAACCAAGTTGCTACGAATGGTCGCCGTCGTGAATTACAAGCGCACATGGCTTCTCAAAGGTCGTCGCGACATCTTTATCTAGCCCAAATAAACTTCCTTACAGTAGTCCACCCCAAGAAGGTATTGCCTGGCGTTGAGCAATAGCGGCCTCGGGATGTGGGAAACCGACGACTGACGCGAAGGTTGGTTTGAAGCGTGGAGAACCGGAAGGCCATGACTTGTTTGATGAATGATGACGCGATGGATGAGAGAACAGTTCTGTTTCATTTCCTGGAGCTGCCGTCAGGATGAAATGTCGGAGCGTGATTGTGAACAGAGTGAGGTTTTCTTCCACAGGTTGACACCTGTCAGGTGGCCCCTGTGGAGCCACGGAACAAGGGGCTAAGAACTATGAGAGCGTACACAAGTTGACAAGGACTACAGAGGGCCCTCCCAGCTGCGGAGGCCCAGAATTCAGATGCAGTACAACCCCACAGCTATTATCTATTGCCTGCGAACCACGTGTGGAAGACCTCTTCACTCTGCTCAATCAATGCTCTGACAACACCGCAATCATCGATCAAATACATGGCAGCAGGAGTTCGTAAATCTCTAGTCCTCAGCAGCTGCAGGGTCGTCTGCGCTCTGACAGATTTATAAATTAATTTGCCTCCGCATTTACGATGCACTCAAAGTAGCTGCTTAAGTTTCATGTTTCACAGCCATCCGTCGATGCCTCCGGGCAGCAACGTTCAGCGGAGTGGAAGGCGTTGGTACGGCGGGGTTGCATCAATCGATCGTTGTGTATGTAATAACGTGTAGATGTAGACCTTAAAGGTAAATAAATCTTTGCACTTCACAATGCCTTTCATAATGACTTGAAAACTAGAGAACCTTGTTCATAATGCCCGAGAGTGCCTCTCATCCACCCCGTCTCAGCTCCCTTCCCGGCTCACAGGGACTGTTGCAGTCACAGGCAGGTGATGATTGATGTAGGTTGCCGGACGCATGGAAGCCATGATGTAGCGGGTACGGGTCTCCCAAGTCCAGGCCGACTGGTTTATGAATCGAAATCCCGACAAGCTTGCGTCAAGTGTGGGATGCAGACGAAGTTGCCTATTGGAGTGACAAGTTTGGCTGGTCGATCAAAAGATCCTGCAACAGCCTACCATAGTGGTGTCACAGCCTGGCTGAAGCACTTATTTGCAGTAGGCTCTGTAGGCATTTTGTACGGACAGGCCTGTGTGATTTAAAGGGTCCACAGTCTGAACGGGGATGGAATGAATCGCATATGTGACAAAACTCCAATCAAAGTCGGTATCCGAAAGCACCTGCGCGCGGGGGCCTCAGAGGTTTAGATTGGGGGCTGATGCAATGGCAGCGCGTATATGAAGGCCACAGAGAGCCAGAGTTTAGACCTATTCCAACCCCTAACTAGG